CTATTCAATTATCATATTGTAATTAATTTAATTAAGTACTACAAAATTTACTGCTCATCTATCATATTGTAATTAATTTAATTAAGTAGTACAAAGTCTGCTATTCAACTACCATATTGTAATTAATTTAATTAAGTACTACAAAATCTGCTGCTCATCTATCATATTGTAATTAATTTAATTAAGTAATACAAAATCTACTATTCAGTTATCATATTGTAATTAATTTAATTAAGCAATACAAATTATGTTCTGGATGAGTGATATTATTATCACTAGTGAAAGTAATGATTCTTTATGTAAAATTATTTCCAGAAATCCAACAATGCAAAAATCTTTGGATAGTTATCAGGAGGAAGATTTGGAGAGAATTCGTGAGCAATGGACAATAGCATTGGCTAATAGACAGAATTATTTAGTGAGCCATATCAATGCAGTAAGTTATATTCATGTTTAATAAATTATTGATTTTACTGTTTAATTAATTTAAAAATTATTGTTCAATTATTAAATTATAATTAATTTAATTAAATGGTAGACTTTAATTTAACCATTAAGTTATAATTAACTTAATTAATTAATACAAATTATTATTTAACTATTATATTGTAACTAATTCAATTAAATCGTAAAAATCGCTGTTCAACTATTAAGTTATAACTAATTTAATTAAGTGATACAAATTATTATTCAACTATTATATTGTAACTAATTTAATTAAGCAGTAAAAATTAATATAAATAACTACTGTGTTACAACTATTTAATTAATTAGTAGAAATCGCCATTCAATTATTAAAGCATTAAGCGCTTATTAGCTTTGAATTGTTAAAATTCATTTTTAAATTTCAGTTATCAGCTAAAGGTGATAAAAAGACAGAAGCTGAAAAAGAACGTGAACAATCATTAATCAATCAATGGGTTGCATTAACTGAAGAACGAAATGCTATTAGTGTACCTGCTGCTAATAGTGATATACCTGGTTCACCAGCTGAATGGTAAGTATATCAAAATTATCCAATCAAACATTTATAAATAAATGATTATAAAAAATTTTTCAAAGAAAAAATTCAAATTTTTAAAATTTAAAAAGTTTTATGGACAAAGAATTCTCTAATTAAAGAAAAAAATTTAGTTTCCTTTTTTTTTGAAACTACAAATATGATTTTAAAAAAATAAATGAAAAATATTCGTTAACTGAAAAAAATTCAATTTAAAAATTTAAAAATTTTACAAAAAAAATTTCTAATTTGAAGAAAAAAAATATCATCATATCATTACATTCTTTAACAGAATGATCTTTTCCTACCTGTTTAATTCTTTACTACAAATTATTAAGAATAATATCAGATGAAATTTTATTTTCAGGTCACCTCCACCTGGTATCGAACGACATGTACCTGTGCTATTTCTTAATTTGAATTGTTAGTTTAATTATTTATCACTTATTTTAATTACTGATTAATGATTGGGAGTGAAAAAAAAATGCATTTATTTGTTCATTCTATTCAATATTATTTCTATCTTTTTTGACATTGTTGTACAAAATTTAAATTTACTGATATTATCATGAAATTATCAATTCTATATTTTTACAGCAGATGATGTTACTGAGGAGATACCCACTGATGATGGTAGTATTCGATTAGCTGGCTTACAATCATTTTTATCCAATGAAAATTGTGGTCAATTCATTATGCTTCCTATTTTGGAACATGATGTTAATGAAGTAAAATTTTGCAACAAATTTATTACAGTATCTGTAAAACTTTTGGAATAATTAGTACTAATTAATGAGATATTTCATCTTTTATAAATTTTCCTATTTTGAATAAATTTACAATTGGAATATTTAAAAAATATTTATTTTACAGATATCAGCTACCTGTTCATGGGATAGTTCGATACATGGAAATCCTGCATTAAATAAACCTACCGAGGGTTCTGATCATGTTTATGCTATTGTTAAGGTATTTAATTAATTTAATATTTATGCTATTGTTAAGGTATTTAATTAATTTAATATTGTTTAATAAGCATTTTGAAGACAAAAGAGTATTTAGCTTATCAATGTGATAATTAAAATAATAGTTAAAAATTGAGGAATTGATACATTTCAAAAAAAAAAAAAAGTTAATTACTTAATAGGTAAATGTTTAGGTAACGATACGTTTATCACATCCTTGTGAAATAGATGTCATTTTACGGAAACAAATTTGCATAAATGTTTACAAGAAAACGGGCTTAACTGAACGATTAATTAAAAAATTGGTTGGATCGGTATGTTTTTTCCTTTTTTTCTTTTTTTTTATACAGATATAATTCTTAAATCATTGATTGTTTTTTTTTTCAAAAAAAAGAAATCAAACTTAAATAAGGCTCTTTTGTTGCATTTAAATCTTATTAAAAATTCATATAAAATAATGGTATGCAATCATTGGTACCGAAATGAATGATAGAAGGATGAAATTTTATTATTATCACCAATATCCTTCTAATATATTTCATCATTTTTAAACATCCTGAAATATGCCATGAAGAAATTATGAAGTTAAATTTAAAAAAAAAAATGAAATTTGAAATCATAAACTTGAACTTAATAGGAAAAGAAAGTGAAATTCCAATCATTGAATTAATCATTAAAAAATTAACGCAATATTATTATCTGTAATTTCTGCTATCTAACTTATGCATACATTATATACTCTTAGTAAAAATTTAACTACAACATAAATTAGGAATATAGGATTATGATAGATTAGAATAAGAAAATTGATAATCAAAGATAACAATAATGGATCTAATTATTATATGCTTGATAAAATTTTACATTGATTGATAAGATTTTCGAAAAGTAAAAATTAATTTACTCTAAAAATTTGAAATTAATTTAACAAAAAATTTAATTGATTTAATAAAAAAATTTAAAAATTAAATTAATTTGCATAAGGAATTGTTGACAATTATTAATTGCTATTCATTGATACCATCTAATTACTGGTTTTAAAGTTTTAGTTAATTAGTTTTGGTTAATTAACTAGTTTTAGTTAACTAATTAGTTTTAATTAGTTGGAAAAACTAATTATATCATTGAAAATATGCAGACTATATGAGTGTTCAGGAAGTATTATTCGATTTTTAAATCAGAAAAAAAAGATATTTTCATTGTTCATCAAATATTTTATCTGTTAAATTTTAAATTTATTTGGGTAACTTTTTTTAATCTCAATAAAAATTTGAATTCATCCTATTGTTTAATGTTCTCAGAAAGAGAGCAATAAAGGGAGAGAGAGAGAAACAGAAAGAGAGAGAGAGAGAGGAGGGAGGAAG